GGGGGGGGGGGGGGGACAATAGAGTTTGAAAGAAAATTCCAGAATCAAGAGCTCCTCAAAGGTGTGTGATAACCCTCATGTAGTATACGAACTGTGTGGTTTTTTTTTTCCCAAGTGGATTCATATATTGGATGTTGATCTATTTACATTTGGAGGTAAGATAGAAGGATTCATTCTCAACAGAAGTTACTTTTCAGTCACATATGCCTTGCCCAGCAGCAAAATACGTCATTAAGTGTTACTGAGCTCAGGACAGTGATGCTGGCCAATCCTGCAGTAGAGAACAGGTTACAGGTTATTCTGAGGATGGGCAGCACAATCAGATGAAAATTGTTAGTCTCTCCTGCCCTGGCAGCATTCTACTTCTATGCAGATCTTGGTATGTGTCACTTTGTTTGCCCTATTTTCATAATTTATTCTAGCCCCGGGCCTTTCCGTAGAACTGAAAATCTGCTGATGTGCTATAGGCACTGAGTTGGTTTGCAGGATATAAATTTTTACTTCCTAGAATTAGCATAGGTCACTTTCAAGCACAGCAAGTTTATGTATGTTACAAAAAATACTGCCAGAAATTTCAGATTAGAAAAATTATTTCAGAAGCTCCTTTTTGGGTTTTCTGACCCGAACAGACTATATATATATATGTGTACAAGACAAGCTGATTTATAGCATTGTGCTTTGTCTGTAATAAATGTAAATGTCTGTTACTCACCTCCCATCCCTTCCAGAATTCACATCTGTGTAGTACTTAGATCAGGCTTTAAATCTGTTACGTTGTCTGTTTCACAACATGTGTATTTCCTGATAAAAATTACTATGAATTGTGTCACTAGATTTATTCTAGACATCAAATTAATCTCCCATCCTGGTGTCAGAGTAATGGCTGGGGCTGATGTGCATGTTACCCTAATTAATATTTTAATAATGTTTGTTAGTTATAAAGTTTCTAATCCTTAGAATCTGCAAACATTAACTGATCTTACAAATAAGCCAGGTATTGTAAATGACCAATTTGTTATCTTCCCTTTTAGTGACAGAAAAAGAAAGGTAGTAAGGTAACAGACTGTCTTCCAATCAGAGCAGGGAGTACAGCTCAGGGTGTCTGGTGTTTACTTGACTAGTAGGTATAACCTCTTCTCTTCTGTCTGTATGAACTATATAGTCTTAATACCTATTTACACTTCCACAAGGTTGATCAAGTTTTTCAAATAGTTACAGGTGTTTAAAATGAAAGGAAAAATTATTAAAAGCTTTTGCAGGTTCTGTGTTTACTTGTACTACTTTTCAGTTACTGGTATAGGTAGCTGACATTTCCTTGGAGATGTGTTTATGTAATAGAACAATTTGTTTGACTACAAACCAATGCAACAGCAACACGTGTCATTGTCCAGCATAGGCTTTGTGAATTTCTCAAGTCTGTAATTCATTTCTTTGACTCAGACTTTTCTCCCTCTGTATTCAGTCCAGACACAGAAAGGGAAAGAATACATGCGTATACACATTTATTATACATTTCTAGTATGACAATTTCCAATGGCATTTACAATTTACAGAGCAAAGCGGGTCAGCTTTCTTACCTTCACAAAGTGAGCCAGAATAGTGTGGCTGAGTGGAACAAGGCCTCAATGGGACTGTGTGTGTCAATAACAGCAATATTTAACCTGAAGTCTTGTACGTGAGCAAAGTTTCACTGATAAAGAAGATACTGGAAGAACAGCTAACAGAGAAAAACCCATCCTTCCTAAAAGGTATCCCTGGTCTTCATTCCTTTGATCTTTCCTGCAAGGAGACTGCATGCATTTTATTTACTCACTAAATACTAAGTCAAGGCATTATTTACCATTCACACCTATTTTCTGATCTGCTGGCACCACCAGACAGTTTCTGTTATTATATCTGGCACTACAGACAATCCACTTGGGAAAAAAAACAACAACAAAACAACAACAAAACAAAAAAAACCAAAAAACAAATATATGAACCTTAAATTTTAGAATGAAAGCAGATTTCAGTTATTTTTCAGATCAATTATGTTTTGCTTTCAAACATTTGCATGCTTATAAAACTATCTCTATCAGGATGGAAAAAACACTACAAAATTCCACTAACAACTTTTCAAAGTGAATAAGATCAGATCACTCCGTTCTTTAAGTGAATGGCAGTCTTTTGGTGCATTTTACTTTAAGGATTAATTTGAAATTTATCTTTTGATGGCTTCTGGCAAGATCCACTAATGAGCTTCAGAGACCAGATGTGCACCAGGGAAGAAGTGGCAAGAATCAGTCACAATCTCACTCTGTTTTCAGGAGTCATATATGGGTAAAAGTAGCGCTAATGATATTAAAATAAGGTATATCTTGAAATGACATCCCATTGAGGAAAAATTCTATGGAAATCGTAATTCCTTAGTTAGTAGATAACATAATCTAGTGTCCTGGTTTCAGCTGGGATAGAGTTAACTGTCTTCCTAGTAGCTGGTACAGTGCTGTGTTTTGAGTTCAGTATGAGAAAAATGTTGATAACACACTGATGTTTTCAGTTGTTGCTAAGTAGTGTTTAGACTAAGTCAAGGATTTTTCAGCTTCTGATGCCCAGCCAGCGAGAAAACTGGGGGGGCATAAGAAGTTGGGATGGGACACAGCCAGGGCACCTGACCCAAACTGGCCAACAGTGTATTCCATACCATGGGACGTCCCATCTAGTATATAAACTGGGAAGTGGGGGCAGGGAATCGCCGCTCGGGGACTAGCTGGGTGTCGGTCGGCAGGTGGTGAGCAATTGTCCTGCGCATCATTTGTACATTCCAATCCTTTTATTACTACTGTTGTCATTTTATTAGTGTTATCATTATCAGTTTCTTTTTTTCTGTTCTATTAAACCGTTCTTATCTCAACCCACGAGTTATACTTCTTTTTCCCGATTTTCTCCCCCATCCCACTGGATGGGGGGGAGTGAGTGAGCAGCTGTGTGGTGCTTAGTTGCTGGCTGGGGTTAAACCACGACATCTAGCATTTCAATTTAAAAAAAAAAAAAAAAAAAAAGATATAAAGAAAAGCATCTTCCTGAATATAAACATCTTGCCCTAAATGCAAGCACGCACAAAGTTGATGAAACTCTGTCCTACTTGGATCTGAAATGAGTCTTAAGCCGACTCTTACTGAACTGGCTGAGAAGGGAGGGAATCTTTAGATCAGCGATGCGGTTTCTTTTAATGTTGAAGTCTCAGATACTATTAGAAGTGCAGATTACTATTTTGGTGCTCATGCAGCTGTATTTGTTTCTTTAGAAATCAGTTAGGATAAAAGCTGTTTACAATATTGTTCTTTCTCCAGACTATACTACTTCTGTCTTGGATTCTTCATACCTGAGTAAAAAAAATAGATACAAAAGTAAGGTAGAATTCAAGTAATATGTTTTTAAATCTTCACAAGAAACTACTGGATGAAAGTTCTTGGCAGAAAATCAAACAAAGCAGAAATTCATTACAAAGGAATGGAACATCAGGGCTGTGCTTGACCAGTATACAAAACTAACAGAAAAATGACATTTTGCTCCTTTTCTACCTCTGATGCTTTGTTCTTACATTTCTACAAATTGTCCTATCAAAAGTTCTAGCTGTTCATCCTGTTCGGGAACTGAACTCTACAATATTTAAGGAGAGCACATAGCCTTGTGCTGGTTATAGCACAGCTTACAATCAGTAACGCATTTCAGATTTCTTGTATCAAGGCCTAAGTGATAATTCTGATATCTCTATATCTGGGTCATTTTCTCTGACCAGAATATGCCAGTTTTAGTACTTGTTGGTAGAGAAGGCAGGGATGTAGTTCTTGAGTCTTAAAAGGCAGTCTTGCTTCCAATTTTGGCTGAAGGTTGCTAACAACCAAACTGGGTATAAAAGACTTACATTTAGCGTTTGGTAGTCATCACCCCTGTAAAAGTTTATGGCTAAAGAAACTGATGTCCTTCTTCTACTTAACCCAGCCTGGGCAGATTTTTGAGTATTAATTAATATTAATTATTCTGTATGGTTATCCAGAAGATGTACCTCTGTCAGAATTGAATGATGATGTTTTCGTGAGCATTCAAGACAGATTAATATAATTTTAAAGAGTTAAAAATTATTCAAATTTTGGCATTAATATTTTGCATCATAATTGTCTGTTTATCTGACAAATGGCCTTTCTAGACTTAAAATTCTTCCTTTTGTCATATGGCTTCCCTGAGTCATAAGGTTGTATCATGGTTTTAAATTATATTCTCCCCCCACCCCCCCCCACCCCGGACAACCAGCTTAAACGTTTCTTTCTGTATTTATTGAATTTTCAGCGCAGAAATTAATGACACCTGCTGCTAAACTCCACAGTTAATATGTACATAAAAGTTTAAAAATGAATGTTAGCAATGTCATTCTAAGAGGAAAAACCTTCATTAGAAGGCATTTTCTTCACTTCTACAGTGTTTTGTTGAGAAAATTGTGATTAATCTGTTACTAGTTACGGCTCCACAAAGTTTAATGAATACAATCTTTCAAGATAAAAAATGGAAAGTTATTTTTTTTGATTAGCATTCAGTTTCAGAAAGACCTGGGATCTAGGATGTGAAGATAGCTCTTCTTTTTCTGTCACCGGGCAGGTTTTTGGTACTTTACATCTCATATTTGGTTTTGGGTTTCAGCTGGACCCACAACATTTTGCCATGCTTGGAGCGAGGTTGTTTGCAGGACTGCAGCTGCCAGTATCTCATCCAAACCACGCAACTTCCTGTTAATTAGGAGTGTTTGTCCTAAATTCCAGTTTAAAGGCTAAGACAGGGGGCGAAACTGAAAAAGGCAGGCTTGATAGATACAGAATTTGGAATGAAAAGTGCCCAAAAGTCATGATCAGGTGCCATGAGTGAAGATCTATAAAATTATTTCTTCAATCTAACTTTGCTATTTTGACTAATACTGTTATTTTAATTCTGACATATATGTTGGATCAATATCTGGAACAGATCTTCTGGACCAAATCCTGTACTGGCATATAATTGGCATAATGCCATAGAATAAAACTGAAAGTTATTTAAAATGAGAACTTGGTACTCTGCCCAAGTACAGTATTTGGTGTATGCATAATAGTGATCCAGGACTCTGCAAATGTTGAATCTGCTGTGAGGAACTGGAGCAATAAAGGCTTATTATCTCTGTATTCTCTGAATGAGTAACAGCAGATAAAATGGTTTGGTGGCACGCACAGTATGCTGTTGACCATCAGACATAAAACAAAGTAAACTAAGAAGTTAACCTGCTTTTGCTGACATAATTCAGTAAAAAACCATATAATTCAGTAGGTTCTTTTTGTTAAATCTGGCTCTGTCTGTGCAATCTTGTAGTATATGGTTAGATTCATCTTTCTTAATGTTTCCAATATTTATTACTGCAGGAAGATCACTATTTAGTAACTGTAGAAATCAGACTAAAAAGAGAGTATAAGTGATAGGAAGATGCTTAAAAATAAAGAAAAATCTGAAAGTTACTCAGTTATCACTGTGAAGAATGTGAAGGTCAAGATTGCTAAAAATAAGCTGAAGGGAAGTTATGCGATATACATACAAGTTCAGAAGAAATAATGTGAATAGTCGAAGTGTCTGATTTTCCAATATTAAGCACAAACACAAGAATAAATGAGCCAACACGAGTGAATTGCCAGGCTCCTTAAATAAGAAAAACTTTTTAAAATTTTTGAATGAACAAGCCATCAAAGACAGAATTAACTAATTCCCAGAACTGACTAAAGCCAGTACAAGAGAGTTCAAAGAGCCCAACTCAAAGACTTGGCTACTCCAAGACTCTCTAAGACAGTGTTCAGATTCAGGATGCCTAGTTCTGACTCAAGTCTCCTAGAAATCAGATGCTACTTTTAAGAGGAGTTTGCCTATATGCTCCCTTGTTTACTGGATATGAGTAGAATCGCAAATGTCATCAGTAGCACAAAGATCCTAATTTTCAAGGCAGTGAATATATATCTTAGGCTACTTAAGCTTCTAACATGGGAAAATACCTACTGATAAAAGGTTCTGGATGTGACAGCAATTCTAACGTCTGTTATTTACACAACAGATCTACTCAGAAATACAGTTTGTTTACAAAGAAGAAATTAACTCAGCTGTGGATTTGGCTTTTTGAGTGAAAAGAGTAGCAAAAAAGACACTGTTGATGTGGCAGTAAGATTAAAATATTCTAGGCCTGCATAAACTCACCATAAATTCTTCCTGTTCTGTGCTAGAAGAGTAGAGATCATATGCCAAAGTATGATTGCTAATTTTGGCCTGAAGGGGACAGCTGAGTGAAATTAGCAAAACGGCCTGATGTTAGTAGCCGTGCTTTAAGTCATGGGTTTAAATGCTGAAGGCACAGCCTCCTACTAATAGGAAGCACTGGAAATATGTTCAAACAAATGATATGTCACTCTAAAGTGCATGTCATGTATTTAAATAATATTGTTTAAGGATGCCAGCTGCATTGTCCCAGAGATGCAAGAAAAATGAATCATGACAGAATTTCGACCCGATAGATTTGCTTTGAAAATATAACACAGGCATGTTTCCAGAAGAAAAAGAAAAAACTGCAGTAGGATTATAGCACACAAAGCAGTACAGCTAATGCTAAAATATTATTAGTCATCATCTGCACCTCTTAAAATAGGAGCCACGAAAGGTATATCACTATATAAAGCATGGCTAGAAACACTTGCTCTGGAATGAGTGGAGAATAAACTGCTAAAACTCCTTTCAATTTTGGACTGTGAAGAGGTTGTTATAAATAGTGTGTGGGGGTTACACCTTATTAAAATTGCAAATTACAGAAAAGGTGAGGATACAGATGGGTCATGTATCTTCTGTTACTGCTTCCATAACAAGGAAGGGCACAACAGCAACTCTACTTTCCAGCATGAATTATTTTCATCTGAGGTCTTGCTAGTAGGTACCTCCAAGCTGAGACAGGGCACAGCACTCCTGTATCCCTCACCTTTGCCAGCTGGGCAGAGCAACTGTATCTCACACACGGTCACAGACAGGCTGTAGTGATGTCCTTTAGGTGTATGACTTAAAGGCCTTCTGGGGAACGTGGCATGAGAGACTAATGCATGTGATTTAAATTCAGATTAAAATCTATCCTTCCCTTTCAATTCTCTTTCATTTCATATTTCAAAGAAGGCTAGACCATGGGTTACACTGAGTCTTTATGAGCAGGTCTCTGGAAGATGTGTATCCACTGATGCAGGAAGAGCCGTCAGCAGTAAAAAGTAGTTGTAACGTGCTTCTGCTACTGAACTGGTACTCTTGGCATGTACTATAGGGAACTGGTGTCTTCTTAAGGGGGGCTGTGGTAGCTAAGTAAGATGGCTGAGGTCAGGCAAATGTACTGCTTCATTATAGTATGTTTGATTGCATTTGCTTTCCAGCAGACAACTTCAAGCAAAGCATTAGCAGTACCACTCTATCCCTTCTCTCATATGCAAGAGTTCAGTAGGCAAAGGAGAAACTAGCATTTTATAATGCTATTAAGAAAAGCACAAGTACAAAACAAGAATTATGAAGCATTGTGATTAAGATGACTTAGGTGAAGTCCAGAAGCTGCTGTTTCATGTGCTTTGCAAAATATCTCTGTAATAGAAAATGTATAAGCTAATCTTGGCCACTTTTCTCTCTCTTAGCTGCTGAAAAATTTTCAGCCTTTATTACACATTGGCTGAGCCGGTCTCCCCTTGGATTCCTTTGTAGTTTTACAATTAGGCAGCCTCCTAGAAAGGGAAGAAGGTTTGTTTTCAGTTGCTGAAATGGAATGTGGGGTTGAATTCAGATATCCAGCTTCTTGAGCAAGTACAATAAAACCCAGTCTCCTCCATTACAAATGACAATAGCAACTTCATCACTGCTGATCATGCACTGAAAGAACAATGCAAACAAGTTTGCCGTCTATACTACCCTAAAGGTAGTTGTAGATACTTGGCCAAATGGGCTTTAATATCATAAACAGCATAATGAAAAATTTACTCAGACACTACATAGCATAGCAAAGAATTGGATAGCATGAGAGAGGTCTTTATTGCTAACTAGATCAGCTTGAAAGCTATTAGCAGTATCAGTAGCTACAGCAGTTGGGTTAAGTTAGTCTGCTAATTACCCCTCTTTTGAGGAGTAAGATTACATAATACAGGATTACGGTTCCAGTCACATGAAGAGGAATTTCTCTGTTCAGTTCAATATTGGCATAATTTGATTCCAGTACTTTCATATCCTCAAGTTTCCAATATAGCAGGTGGTCTCATACAAAGGAAATGATACTTTTGTCCTCCAGAACAAGCTTTTGTGCTGCTCCCCTAATAAAGAGAGGAGAGAAGGGGAAGACATGCTGTATTCTTCCTCCTCAGTGCTCATCGTCACTGCTAAGCACCCTAGTGTCACAGGTGAGACGACATGTCTGCTTTTGCTAAATACTTTTCTTTTTATTTATATTGCAGAATTGCCTCGGAAGATGATGTTAGCAAAAATTAAGAAAGGTAATTAAGTTTACATAGTAATCTAAGACTTTTATACAATGATAAGGGATTTAGCTTCTTTTGATAAATTTTTTATGTGTTGTTCCAAGCTATCTCCTAACAAATCCAGCAATGTCAGACTGAAGTGAGTTCTTACTCCTAATCTTCTTCTGTATTCATCAAAGACTTTGAGGACAGTTGTGGTCACTTGAAGATGGTAGCTGCAATCTCTTCTCGCCAAAATAAACACATCATGACACTTTTTTCTCTTTCTTCAGTAAAGAGAAAAGAAGGACTCTGCAGAGATTCAAGCATTGTATAATTAGCCATGATGTGGAACTCTTATTGTGTGTTTTGAGAATTATTTAAATGCTTCCTCTGCTGTTAGCAAAAATAGGAGAAAATCAATCTGAAACAGAACTTTTCAATCATTGCCTGTGTAGCAGCTAACAGAGGTTAGGGCAGATCCCCTAATTACACATTAAGCAAGGGGGCAAGTTTCCCAATCCTGAAGGGGCAAACCGTTTACAGAAATTTAAATGCCTGATACCCCAACTTCCTAAATAGCCAAAGCTTAAGCACTGAGAATCACTTGTCTGAAACACTGTTGGTCTCTTAAGGTAACCTGTGTTCCTAACAAGGATATTTAAGTTTGATGCTTGCAACAGAGCTTGTGAAGACTTATTCTACTCTTCCTCTTTCCACATTAGAGACTTATCTGGATTGGGCCCAATGCTGGTAGCCAGAGTTCCCTGAATACAGGCTTGAGTAAATTTTTTTCACAAGTCAGCTCCTCTTTCTCTGCTTGCCCTCCCTCATCCCTCCTACTTGCTTCCTCTTGAATTGGTGTGCATTTAACTCCTCACAGAAATACCAATATTTGCACGTACATTTTGAAATAGACTAATTAAATAATTTATCTTTGCAGAATGGTATTTGGAATATTTTCGTACTAAGATGATGGGTTTCTTTTCCTGTTTTCTACTGTCTTTTGATTCTTAATGCACAAAAAAAATTAATCATGATTCTATGCTATGGAAGTTACTAAAGTTGATTTTCCACAGATGCTGCAGATGTTTGGCACTACTTCCTTTAAGGTCCGACCCTAGTTCCCTGCTTTTAATGACAAAACAGAACGTATCCTGTTAAATGCAGCTCGTGGCTGTCATCAACGTCATTACATGTTTACTATTGTTTCCAGTAACGTAGTTTTGAATACTGAGTCTCTGAAGAAAGACATGGCATTTAAAAGTATAATACTGGTTTGTATAGTTAGGATTATATTGCCTTCATGACCTGTCCAAAAGTGGCTATAAAAGTTAGCTGTGAGCTCAACATTTTTGGACTTTATTTCCTTTTTGTGCAAGAATCATTTTAATATAAGGATTTTCTAAATTAAGAGCAGCTGGTTTTAAGAATCAGTCATAATCCTGCAGGCTACTTTACATACCCGTATTATTATCTGCCATCCTTTCTCAGTTAATATCTATCTAATAATCTTTTTCTGTTATTTCACAATATTTTGCAATGTTTGATGAAAGTATTGTTTCTGTAGCTCCTATTGTCTGTGAGCTCCTAATAGATGATATATGGAATAGATACCACTCTGGTAGATTCTTGCCTGCTGCCTGTCTACATAACTGTCTCATTTCCATTCTCAGCTGAAAGCATATCTTATGCCTTGCCCATACCTTTCATATTTGTTGGTCTCTGTGAACTTAGTTTTGTAAATCTGTGAACACAATAGGTACTGCGTTTGAATAGTAAGAAACATGAAATATCTGAACTGTAGAATATATATACTTACTGGCAGAGAGTGAAATTTGTAGTGAAAAATCAAAATTAAGCTATCCAGGAGTGCTTAAAATAGTTGATTTTGTTACTTTATGCAAGAACATTTTAATGTTTTAATTTTACATGTGATCTCTGAAAATGACATTTTGCTGTCCTTGAAGCTTTATAACAATTGAAATACAGGATATTGACAATTATTTCTTGGAAAAACACTAATTATGAGCTATTATAATGTTTTATATAAATATATGATGTGCATCAATTGAATTTAGTAATATTCTTATTCTAGCGATGATTTTTCATAGATACTTGGCTAAAATAGCTGTAATAGGATTAACTTCCTTACAACACCATAATCTAGTCCAAAAATGTTAGGGACTTCAAAGTAATTGTTCTATAGTAATTTTTATTAAAATGGCAGCCCTCTGCACACTGTTTCAGTCTCAGTATTCTATAAGTTTCACAGGTAAGGAAGGCCTTTATATGTGACATCTGATATGATTGTCTTGTATGATGGCTAAATATACTTTTCTCTGCAAGTCAGCTCACTCAAGAATCATATTTCAAAGTATCTACTAGCAAGAATTTGAGAATACCTCCATATATATTTCATTATTGTTTCCATGATTTTCTTTTAAGAATAGAATTTTGAGGGAAAAATTAAATATGGTGAGAAATTGACATTTGGGGATTATTACACGGCTATGTGTTTTTCTTCCTTGCCAGAAGCCATGATATCATGCCTTGATATTCAGTCAAATTATGCAGTATTCATTTGTTAACTTTTTCTTGGTTGATATTATAGTTACTGATTGCAAACTAGGAACCGGGACTGAAAAATGATAGTTAGAATAGCTGCTCTGTCTCCGTTTCCTGTATCCTTTTATAGCAGTAGACTGTCACAGACAAAATGCATTGTTAGATTTTTTTTTTCTGTTCTTTTTTAAAAGCTATTTCCTTTTTCCTTCTATTTTGACATTGCTTTCTGTATAATTCACACTAACATTGACTAAACCAACTACATAAATGACAAGAATGTGTACTTAGTTCAAATGATCCAGCTGGGAATCAAGTCTTGTTTTAATTCAGAGTAAAAACTGATTTTCATCTTAGAGCTTATGTAGGAGGACACTTAAAGGAATCATTAGTCCTCATTTTCCAAGATATAATTTACTGGCTACCTGGAAAGGAAAAAAAGCAATAAAAATATCCCTATAATGCTCCAGCATAATACTTCAGTGTTATATATAGAACAAAAGCAGTACAATAAAGCAGCAGTTTGTATTGTCTTTAGTCCAAAGTTACAGATTTATTTTATAAACTTCCTTCAGTTCTATTGTTGTCTTGGAATGTGTGGTTTGTTTTTTTTTTTTTCTTCACCCACCCTGTTCATCATTTACCATTGTTCATAGAAAAGCCCAATTTCTGCTTTCATGAGAAAGACCCTGGAATCTGCCGAGGCTATTTTTCCAGGTATTTCTATAACAAAGAGACAAAGTCATGTGAAGTATTCAAGTATGGTGGGTGCCTAGGAAACCAGAACAACTTCAAGGATTTGGAAGAATGCCAGATTACCTGCCAAGGCAACTGTAAGTTGTTGTCCTCGTTATTCTTAGCTTTATTCTTGTATAAACAATGTTGTGTTTTGAAGATATCTTGCATGGAAAAAAAGGCAACTTAGGGTAGATACCCTGAGGTGCCAATAATTTGTATCTGAAATTAACTGTAATTACATGGGGTTTTTTTAAATAAAAATACAAAAATAAAAAATATAAATTAAAAAAATTGCAGGTACTATTAACTTTAATGAATATTACAGGACTCCTACTTTTTTTACTTTTCTCATGACAGTTAATCTAAAATCTGCCAGCTGTTTGGCCTTATAATATCATAAAATGCTAAAGTATATTTTTTAACCTGTATATCTGAATATACTCTTTTCAAACCAAGTCTTGGAAATAAGTCTAGGGACATAAGAGCATACATATTCCCTGAAGGTTTTTTTCCAGGACTGTTTCATAATCTGTCATTTTGGCAAGGGGAACTTGAGTATATTCACATTTAGAATAGGAAAGACCCACTATAGTTCTTTTGTAAAGATTTTTTTTTTTTTTTTTTAAAATGTATACATACAGAGCAATGTTCTTTTCCGCTACCTTTACCAAAGCATTTCTTCCTGGGCTCCTATTCTACTTTTACCTTCTGGATTAAAAGTTGCAGAATGCTTTTTTTTTTCCTAACTTTAATCTGAAATAACACCTCTATGTAAATTTGTATGAATACCCAAGAAGAAAGAGAGAATTAGGGGGCATTGCCATGGTTTAAATAGATCAAAGTTTTTACCTTAGTGATATTGAAACATTGATACCAATTGTTTCTTGTGTTTTTCTCCTCATTGTTTTCCATTTGTTTTCCTTTTAGCAAATTTATTGCCAATCATTCCAGCTGAAGAGCATCCTAACACTGTGAACAGTAGTTCCCCAGCAGAAGAACCCAACCAGTTCCCTGGGATTTTTGGTAAGAATTTGCTTTTGCTGTTATAGTTATCCTTTTTTAATGCAGACACTCCTTGGCTTGTCCACTCATTTTCCCATTTATTTGAAGATATGTATGTTAGCTGAAATACATAAGCACAGTGAAGTCAGTAACATTAAAACTAGCTTCATAGCCATTTGCTTGTCAGTAATACGTATTTTGAAAAAGGCTTACAATTGCAAAGGTTAGAATGTCTGCTAGTAATATAAAAATAACCTTCCCAAACCATGTTTGATTTAAATCTTACATCAGTAAAATTAAAGAAGAAAAAGGAATCTATCCCGAAGTTGCTTCAGCACATCAGTTTCCTATGCCTTTGGGACTTGAAGAAATGCTGCCTTTTGGTGGGATTAATACTGGCATGGAGCAAGGCAAATGAGTACTAATCATAGCTTATTTTCAGAGCTTTGTTGTGTCTAGATAACCTGTCACTTACTGTTTCACCCTCCCTTTTTTTTTTCTTTTAGTCAATTTGTTGCCAACTGCTCCAAATGACGAGAAGTCCAATACTCTGAACAGTAGCTCCCCAAAGGAGAAGCGCAACCAGTTTCCCTTTTTTTTTGGTAAGAATTCACTTTTGCAGTTGTCAACTCTCAGTCTTTTATATGCCTTCTGGATTGCTTTTCCATTTCCACCCATTTTCTAACATGTCTGAGACTAAAGAATGGGCTTACATCTATGTCAAATTTGTTGATAAGCAGAGAAAGTTAAAGCAAAGAAATATATTGCTACTTACAGATCTTCCATAAATATCAGAAAGTGGAAGACTGACCACATCTTGTCCTCTTCTGAAACTGTGCACTTCCTGTAGGTCTGATAAATACAAAAATTTAAGGACCAAGAGCAGAAGCAGTGATGCAGAGTTCTTTTAGTCAAATTAATATTTTTGTGGGGATCTAATTGGCAGCCAATTTAAAGCTCCTTTTACCCATTAAAAAAGTACCATATTTGGATTTTGGAATATGGCACAGTATATTTATCATAATACATTTTTATTTTCACTAAGACCATATTAAACTCAGTTCTTGGTTTGAGTATAATCAAAGTGAGTGTGAATTAATTTTTTGTCTGCTTCAAGGTATTTTTGCGCTATGTATTATAATGCAGATGAGAATCTGTACTTTTACTGTAGAGGGCTAGTTTTTAACAGTTTCTGCAGCTGGACGCTGTCCACTATAGATTGCTGGTACTTGCTCACACTGTAAAGGGTGATTGAATTTGAGGCATGTCATTTTTATGATCCACAGTTATGCAAGAGGAAACAAGAAACAGTTGGAAAAAGCCTGAGCATCCTTACCAAGTATTTCTGTTGGTTTTTTGTATTTACACTTCCTTGTACTTTTGGGGATTGAGCGATGGCTTACAGATTCATTAAGGTTTTTGTGTTTTATACAATGTGCAAGATAATGGGCATGTAGGATAACATTCCTGTGCTCTTTGCTTCGAATGGTATGTCTAATAAAGCTTGAATGTGTGTTATATTCTATTTTTTTCCTTGCACTGTGATCCACATGTGCTGTTGGGTTGAGGTAAGTTTTGGTGATAATTGGATTGTTTGTTTACCACATACAGAGCGTCAATACACTCTGTTATTAAAATGACTGAATATAAAACTGTAAAGCTTCTGGCAAGTTATTTTACTGAAAAATATTTGAATGATTGTAGGCCTGGAAATAAGTCTAGGGACATAAGAGCATACATGTTCCCTGAAGGTTTTTATTCATAATATGAATCCCCAGATCCCCAAAACAAGCAATCTATACAAGCAAAGGGGCATGATTCGCTATGTTTTTCTCAGAGGAAACGGAGGGGTTCTTGGTTGTGTCAGCAATTGTGAATTTTCTGGTAGAGCAGATTTTGGGAGGGAGAGGTGAGGGTAAGAGAAAGAGAAGACTTGAAGGTTGGTGGAAGAAAGGGTCAGGGAACAAGGGTGGGTGGAGTCAGTATAGCCAGATGGGTCAGGTAAGAAACGTGACCTTGGGAGGACCAGTGCGTTTCAGTGGTAAGTCTGAAGACATCACAAGTTCTTCCTACTATATAACCTTTGTCTGCCTTACACTAGCCTGTCCCATGCAGCCACCTGCTGCCATTCTGTTTATCAGCCTGTACCTTTCAGGTTGCTGGGGTGGGCTAAAATCCTGTGCTTTTGTGCAATCCCACTAAAGGGGGAGGAAAGAGTAGGGCCAAAACTGACAGCTGATTTCTCCACAGAGATGTGGAGAACATAGCCTCCATTCTTGCTATTACTAGAGGCAGAGGTGTAAACTGAAGTTGCAAGGTAGAACCATCTCACGCAAACATGCATTGTGATTCCCCATGACCCTCAGCGAGGGACAGAAATCTGGCTGTGCACATATGAGGTCAAGATGGACTGTTTGAGATGGAGTGGCTGATGCCCATCTTTTCAAGCACAGGCAAAGTAGCTGGTCTGCCACTTTAACATCTATTTTGCAAATATATTGGCCTGGCTATATATCCTTTTTTTTTTTTTTAAATACATGACCACCATTAAAAAAAATTTGCAGGGAGTTGTCTCTTATACAATACCTTACCTCACAACTGAAATGCTATTCATCTGGATTTAAAGAAAAAATACAAATTATTGGTGGTATGTATAACTCTGTAACAATATCAGATTAATAGATTTCCAACAAAGTTCTTGATCTTTAGAAAATTAAACTCTTCTATGGCCAAACAAAACAAATTTTTTTCTTCTGCATATAAACATGAAACATCTAGCGCTATCTCTCAGCAATGAACTTTCTGCAGACAATGAAGATTGTTCTGGTCTTACTCTGCTGCAAGACTTAAAATAACTTTTATTCTGGGAAAGTTAAGAGAAAGTGAATCCAAGAATCAAACCTTTCATTAGATTATACAAAGTGATCTATGATAGGAAATTGAGTGCTATACCCTATGTTTGATTTGTGAGATCTAAGTGGGATGCAGGATCAAAAGTCAATTTTCAACTCAGCAAATGTGGAATGGCACACAGGCAGTTGCTGTTATTACTTATCAAAGTCAGGGCCATATCTTTTGCTGATATAAATTGACACAGTTCCATTTGCTATAATGGATCTGCACCAATTTATACCTACAGAGTACCATTAAGTGCAGATGACTCATTATTTTTGTAATAGCTTGTCTACTTGAAGATTCTTTTATTTTCTCTTTGCTGCAATCAGAAATGAGATATTGAAGCCTGCATATATCAAAAATCTGGCAATAAATCTGAAGCTTCATGAATGTCACACACCCATGTCTAGCGAAAGAGAATGCAGTAAGCAGTGTTTCTCATACAGCTCACCAAGATCATTTCAAACTTCTTTTGTACTTGTGTTCATTGTCACACAAGCCCAGCTAAGCCTGAGAGATAACGATTATTGTTGCAATACAGGGTTGGGATTATTTTTATAAATATGAGTCTATATCTGAATATGCATATTTCACACATTCTGAAGTATGATCGTGTCATCTGCTTACACCACAGAGTGGTGTCTGGGATTCAGGAAAAGGCTGTATTTTAAGAATTACATCTTAAACCATACACATTTAAAGATTGTTTAGGTAGCAGTGAAGGGTAAGATACAATAGTCTTTTTCTAGGTAAGAACAATAGCATTTTTTTATCTACTGCTTATTTCATATAATTAGTTTACCTATTTTTTAAGAAGCAAAATATTGCAGGTTTGGGTCTCATTCTCTCACCAAAACAAAATCAGTCCAAACATCTGCATCATCAAGAAAAAGAAGTACCAGAAAGATAAGAGAAAGATCTGTCCTGTATTTTGCTGTTGTAAAGCCTGAAACCCATTTGAGAAGCTCCTGCAGAGCTAGTGGCAGGAGTTCTAGTTCCCAAGCTCCACTTGAGATGGGTTCCAAGCTCTAATTTCCTTCAAAAGTTTTTGATGGAATTGGCATGTTTCTGAGGAACACTTTGTATTGCATTGTATCAGCATTTTCCAGAAGAAAACTTTACACCTGGAAATGTTTGACTAACTCAGCTTGGAAGCTTTCATTTGTCCTTTGCCTATATGAATTGTAAATTCTTTTTTCCCATGCCTGTTCATGAGCTGATTTATATGGCGTATTTTTGGCAAATAATATATGTAGCAACTCCAAGTTTATGAGCATGCTATTGGATATTTAAAAACTGTTTAAGTCAGATATTTTGGATAAACAGAATAGCATGAACACAAGGGTGAAGCCAGATTCTTAAGGCTTATTGCTGTCAATGTAAATAACCAGTTCATTTCTGTAGAAATTGCATCAAAGGCAATAGGATGGGCCATGTAGTTGCATGTATAAGAAAGTTAGAAAGTGTTTCATGACATTTATTAATTTTTAGGTTCATACAATCCACTTAGCGTTAACAGGTAATGAGTTATGTAATGAGTAATGCTACTTGCACTGTGAAAAAAATTGCTAAAAGGTAACGTAAACTGAGAAAAAAAGTAGAGTTAAAAACAGCATTTCTATCTCAAGTAGTCTTTCAATACAGTTGGCATCTGTAATTCATAGACCTCTAATGACTAGATTAGGGAATGTAATTTTGACAGTGGGACATGTATTGCTTTTTTTTTTTTACTGTTTTCAGTGTGTACCCCTTCCTCTGTGTAGCTTTGCAGGTTATGGGATTTGCTTCTTTCTTCTTTTTTTCCTCCATAGAAAAAGCAGGAGATAAAACATTTCAACAACTCTCAGAAAAATGAAGTTGTAAAACCAAAACATTTGAGAAACTCAAGAACAGGCATAATATCTAAACTTACTGTAACATCATATACATAAGTACAGCATTAGAAGCTGGGGCTGAACAGAGAAAACTTACCTGGATCTAATGCTCCTAGTGACTGTGTTAACATACTAGCTCACAGGTTTATAGAATGTCCTGCCAATAGAGATGTTGGGCTGGGCATGACACAGTACATATTTTATATTTACAGTAACTGAAAGTTAACAAGTCTTAGTGATCAGTATATTAAAGTCAATTTATATTTTTTATGATCCTCAACAGACAGGAAATTATGTCCTTTTATTTTAATATACTGTTTTGTTGAAAAAAAAGTGGCTTCAATATGGCAAAACTATAAGAGGTTGTCTTTATGGGCTGGTTGCTTCTGTGAGAGTAAAGAATATGCAGATATTTTGAGGATGAACAGGTATAGTGATTGGTATCTGGGGCATTTATCTAGTAATGAGCTAGACAAACAACAACACAATTTTTAGAAAGAGTACAAGAGGGATTCTAAAAAGCATTTGTCTGCCACCCTGCCAGTTGCATTGTATGTACATAGGTAGTCCGTATTCACCAGTAACCACATCACTGGCTCCATGGCGCCCCGAAATCTTACAGTTGCTGTGAGAACTCCTTCATGAGGGGCCTATGGAGTGTCTCTGGAAAATTTTACATACCAGATAAGTAATCTACTTTACAAAGTGTAGCTTTAAATTCTATTATATAATTAACAAACCTATGCTATTTGGCCTTTTCATCACTGGCAAGCCTTTCTGCTTTGTTCTTTTTAGGTTCAGAAATTATCAGGTTAAAATTAGGTAAGCATTTTTTTTTAATGTTGCTGAACATATGCTTTGAAAGCTAAGATCCTCTCTAGCTAGAGAGAGATGACATTAGTTAGGCATAAGACTTCTCAGTTAGAGTGGTACCAAAAGTATTGCATTAGTTAATTTAACTACCATCTTCAGTATAAATAAAACAGTAGATGTAATATAAATTGTATTACATTGTGGGCTCTTACTCTGGATCCCGAGTGAACCTTACTCGTACAATAATGTCACAGTCATAAAAAGAAATTAAGTGGTGCTTGCTTTATAAGCTGAAACTAACTTAATATATCTTGGAAAATGAACTTACAACTCAGTTTTTGCATTTCGGGATTCTTTTTGAATAGTATGATGTCGCTAACACAGCTTCAAATATATCATTAATTTCATTTTGCTGTCTTAGCTCTCCATAAATCACTGTTCCGTTTCTTTCCTAGCAATTTTTCATAGTCTTTCACCATTCCAGTTCAGCTATTATACTTGGCAGATGAACCTTTTTGAGCAGGTGTAATATGTGTAAGACATGTAAGATGTCCCATGTTCTTTTTGAATATTTTCTTGTCAGTCTCTTGAATTGCCCAAGTTAATTCTTCTTAATAACTTCTTGCTTTCAGCAACTCATCTGCTTCCTACTTTTGTGACAACAGGATGTCCCCAGCTCTGTTGTAACCCAAATTATTCCTTAAAATTTTTACTTGGTTTTTCCTCTAAGCCACTTCTACCTGGCTTTGTAACTTCAAGAAGGCCATCTGACTAGCTTCAGGTTTCCATTTATGCATTCAGATCTCAGCTATCTCAATTCTGCTACTTCTTGAATGAAAATGACGCTCCTTTAGGTCCCTCAAAACTGATGATATAATGGCTCCCCTTTCTTGCATCCTGTGCAGTAATTGTGTCAGTTCTAATTTTGTATATGAGTCACTCCAGGGTGATAGATGATGGAGTTTCTCCAGGTTTGGGAATTCTGGCACGGATTTGCTTCTTCAACTTGTTCCAGTGTCCAGGTACTTCAGATACCTCAGGTTCATCTTCCAGTGTTTCAGTTCTCATACTCTCACTTGCAGCGACACTGAAGAAACAAACCGTCAGCCTACTTCTTCGAATGGTAAAAACCTAACAGTAGCACTAAAGCACTAGCATCTCAGACTTCATGCACTTATTCTTCACATTCAGTCCTTTGTTATTCTGAGAGTTACGATCTATTTCTTGATAATTGCTCAGTGTTTTCCAGTAGACCGACTTCTATTACTTAGGTCAAGCTTTCTGTATTCATATGACAAACACAATATTAAGGTATTGAGTCTTACATTGGAAATGCTGGGTACTTTTACCTTCTACTTGATTACAGAATGTCTAGCAGCAATTAAGAAAATTCACTTCGTTAATGATCATAAATATTTACCATATTTTTAAAGCTGTCCAAGTTTAATTTATTTCACTTCACTTCCTACAAATACTTCACTTGAAACTTCTCGAATTGAATTCGCTTACTATCTTCTATCACAGAAATAGCAATTTTATCACTAAATATATAGGAAATGAACCTTACTTTCAGGTAAGCTTTTGCTGGCTTTTGGAATTCAAAGAGAGAATAACATTTGCTGAGGTATTTTTTGTAATCATAAAAAGACAGATGCTTATGTAAAGTATCCTGGATTTTCAGGAGGGCAGAATTAAATTTGCCAGTAAATTTCATATAAATTTCAAAGTTCTGTGAGCTTCAAATCTAATATATAATATCAATATAACAGAAAATTGGTAAACTGCAGTGTTGTCTCTAACCTTGTTTTTCTTTGTATCTCTAGAACCACCTCCTATCCCTTCTTTGTGCATGACCCCTATGGACAGAGGGCTTTGTAGAGCCAAAGAGTTAAGATTTTTCTACAACTACTCAACTGGAAGATGTCACCCATTTAGCTACAGTGGTTGTGGTGGGAATGAAAATAATTTCACCTCCAGAAAGTCATGTTTGAGGATCTGCAAGAAAGGTATGGGTAGTGATACTGCCACAGACTGCCGTAAGAGGTGCATTCTTGAAACTTTTGGTACTAAGCATTGGCCTGATAAAATGTAATAGTGAAAAGTCTTAGAAAAGTGAAAATGGAAATCAGAAGAGAGACGGAGCTAGAGAGAAAGATGGACAGTAAAATACAGTGTACAAGAACAGAAATAGGACAACTTGGCATTGGTCAGGCATATGAAAACTTTAGGTAAGACAGTGTACTTTGTTCTTTTTTTAAAGAATATTTCTTGAAAACAAGACTTGTCTCTTATTTATGATAATCTTGGATGTGTCAGTCACACAGCATCTAATCTTTCTTTCATCATTTTACCTTTAGGATTCAATAAAAAAAAAGGCGAAAGAAGATTAATAAAAATCAACAAGAAAAGAAAGAAACAGTCAGTAAAGGCTCTGGGCGAGGAAATAATCCCTGAAAGAATACAACTTTGATTTTTATGGAAATTTGTGGTAAACTACTATCCATCTGTGAATGCAAACCTTTAGTGTACAACATTTAAATGTATTTACTGTACTGATTATTTTGATTACATATTATTAAGCAACTTATATTTTCATTATGTATTCCTCATTCATGTTAATAAACATCATGTTTTACTTTGATAAAGGCTCTTAAATTGTAGCTTGATTGTATATAATTGTCAGAGCTGAAACAGGACAGAATAGACTGTGTGGGTGTATAACTTATAATAATTAAAAAGTAGACAAGATTCAAATTTACTTTATTACCCCGTTCTTTTTGACATCTATTTTTGTGGTAAAGAAAGCATAATTCTTGTCAAAGAGTAATCACTTGTCAAGCATGATTGCTTCAATCATAGATTAAAAGATAGGTCTATTGCTATAAAAAGGAAATAGACACTGGGTTTGTTTTAATCAGATTTATTTTAGGTTATGCAAGCTAGATTTAACTCCATCAAAGTGCATATAATTACCCTGTTGTGAAATGAATGTGAGATCAGAAAAGCACCAAAAACCATGAAGAGAATGTTAAAGTTGTAAATGTGTGAAGCAATGTGACAGATATTTGCAAAGATTTAAAAATACATTTGCTGGGATCATTGATTTTTACCCTTGTTACTGAACTATACTCATGGCTAGCAAGTTAATAGTTTCCAGAAATAGGTATTAAATTTTTACAAAAACCAGAAGGAATTCCTTTCATGGAAATAAATACAGTTGCTTTAGAGATAACACTATGCTTACTCTCCAGTTGACTTTGAGGGGTTTTTTTAGTTGGATTTTGGTGAGGTTTTTTTAAGACTGACATGAAACAGTGGTACAGTTCCCACCCTTCTGCAAGGCATTTCTGTGATCTTAGGTAAATCTTTTATAATGAGATTTTTTTAAAGAAAAGGGGGGAAAAAAAGGTAGTTGTTTTCCTATTAAGGTTTTTAGAAGCACCTTGCTGCCTATGAAACAAAATATAGCAGGATATTTTTGAAACTTCCCTACCTTCTTTGATGATGTAAATCTTTTTTTAATGTGTCACATGTTTTCTTTTTATGCTTAAAACCACCAAGGATAGTTACACTGCTGTTTGTGAGAGGTGGTGTGGAAATAAGTAGCTGAAATAGATGTGAGGGGCTGAGACACTACAGCGAGGAGCAAGGACAAGAGTGACAGAATAATAAATGATCTGTTGGACTAAGCTGCCTTTGCCTGTGCACTGGGAATTGCACGTGCAATTTCAGAAAACCTATGTTTTATATGCCTGATGAACTTTGAACTAAATGTACACCAGAAAATATTTATGTAGAGTCTTCTCATATAAAATGTATGAGCACCACAATCCAATAACTATATAAATCAGACAAGTGCAGTTCTGGCAGGAAACCCATGAACTCCATAGACTAGTGAAAAGTAGTAACATCAGTTCTCTACACAGAATTAATTTGGTGCATTGTTAGCTGCCAGTTTCACTTCCGGCTTGGTATTTTCCCATTCTAGTTCATCATTTTTATTGACCTTACTCTCCAGGTATCATCTGTACTCCACGCACTAGGAGTTGAGTCTGTAGACGTGGGTTGCGCTGCACGGGAGCAAAGCAGTAGGCTAAATACTTGGACCAGCTGGAACTTGTCATTGCAGACAAGCGGACAACCCAAGGTTTAAGCTGCTCCCAAGCCTTTCTGCTTGTAGCATAGCAACTGCCTTAGCACAGTAGTGTACGTGGCCGCCAAAAGCAGGAGTTGCTTTAGGCACCCTAGGTACAGGAGTCAGGACTTACCAGTGGGCTGAACACTCCACTAATGCCACATTTACCCTGCCTCTACACTGACACTGGCTTGTGTCTGCCTGGCTAGGAATGCAGGTGAGTGCACAAACGTCTGCACCTTTTCTTGTATAAGTTTTATGGTGAATGCAGTAAAAATATGTAATATTCCATTATTGGTCGTAATAATTTCCCATGGGCTGCCCGTATTAAAACTAATGTAACTGCTGGATGGTGTGATGTACCTTGGAGTGGAGACAGAGCTGAGGTATGTGCAACTTAGCTTCTCCAGCAGCTCAGTGACTCAGTAAGGACATTCTGAGTCTATGGTTTCAGATTAAAGCAAAAAGAAAGTGTCAAGTGCTGGGTAAGTAACACATTTGCAATACCTGCCTTCTGTCACTGATGTCTGACAGATAGGCAGTACTATCCTATACACCATGTTAAAATCCTTTTATAAAGAAATGCGGTATTCCCTAGCATGATTCTGAGGTAGCTGACCATGATTCACATTAAACTAAAACATCTTCTAGAGCTGTCACTTAAAAGAGAATGAAACTCATTCTTCAGCAGCAGGAGTGCAACATTCAGATAATGCTAGTGTTTATATGAATCTGTGTTATTGAGGGCAGTGTTTCTTTAAGGAGAGTTTTTCCTCAGCATCAAGCCCAAATAAAGGTGGTGGGGACAGAGCTGTTTCTGAGGCAGTGTCCTCTGCCCAGCTCTGACTGTGGTGTTTTCAGTTGTGATGGGACTCTGATCAGAGCCTTGCAGGGGTTGGGAGGAAGTGGAAGGGGTTTGCCCGTGGTGTTTCTTAAAGCTGTCCCACCAAGAACATTAACAAGGATTTGTAAACTCTTAAGTTTTATTAGATCATAAACTAGAATGATGAACTTTCTAAAACAGAATATTCTGAATGAGACAATAGATAAAATAGATAGGAAAGAACAGATGCATTTGTTTGTACACAGATTGCCTTGTGATCCCTGTGTCATTTCATGGCAGTATCTCTCCTTCAGGCTCTCTCTTGGTCCAGCGACTTGTCCCTGGCTGCCTAGATTCAACACCTACAAAATCCACCCTGGAAGTCTACGAAAAAACATCCTTTCCATCCCTGCAGAAACCTGGCTGTGTGGCTGCTCCTCAGCCTTCTAAATCTCCTGCTTGCTGAGCTCTCTTGCAAACTAACAGAGTCTCCTCAGTGGGTGTGCTCAGTCGCTCTCCAGGACTGTGAGGTCTTCTCTTCTTCCAGGACTGCGGTAGCTAGGACAGGACTAACAGGTACTCCCCCATACTCTGCCACCCCCTACTTATGTTATACCAAAGAAAGTTCTCATGCATTCATTTTGTAGTAACAGTGATTTAAAAAGTGATCTATTGCGGGATCTCTTAGGTCATTGTTGAGACAGGAAAAGACTTTACAGTTATAGCATCTCAACAGTACCTCTACTTCAGCTGACTAAGAAAACTTTACAAAATGATTCACCTTTTAGGCTTGTTACTTAGTCTAATGAGAATGAAGACTGGAATGTTGTAGACTGTATAAAAACTGATCTGATTACAGTTGGAGATTTGTTCTGAGAGCGCACACTCTTCTTGGTGTGTGTACTAGGTTTGGCCGCCATACCAGTTATCCAGCTGTCTTCCTATCTTGCTTTTTTATAGCTCTACAGTGCATTGAATTATTTTTTCCCTTAAAAAGTCCAAACTGCAATGTGATCTGATCTTCTTCAACTCCACAAGAAGTTTCTTTCGTGCCCTTCTACTTCATTCACCACTTTTCATTCCTGTATTGCCAATATCTGCAGAACAACCAAATGCAAGAATAAGATAAAAAGACCTGTGCATTTCTCAAAGGTAATTAAAGGGTCAATGTATAAGGGGGGATAATTGAGCCACAACACAGGGAAAAGATAGGGAATCTGATGGCAGAATGGTGAAGAGGTCAGAAAATGAAGCTATGCTAAGGTGTTAGAGTGACTGCACATTTCCAGTTAACTAGAGTCCATTCACCCAGTCATTTCATTCCAGAATCTGCCCCGGTTGCTTTGGAGGAAATATGCAGGGTGGTGTGAAATTTCTCCCACTTTGTGTGATGGGAGCCAACAAGCCGAAGCGATTTTACAGAGGTTTGATGAGCTTCTGTGTATCATCTGACCTGCAATAACGTGGTATGTGCCCTTAGTCCATAGAGGTGATGAAGCAAAATGTCTTTGAGAAATAATTTGAAGTCTTTTTATTTGTTCTTTTTTTCCCCTCACATTTTTACTGGTATGCCCTCCTTTTTCTCCTTTTTACTTCTATCCCCCGCTTCTCTTTTCTTTCCCATTCATTTGAGCCAGCATTTCTCCCTGCGTCTCCCATCCATCTAGTGTTTTAGAACTGGTACGTTTATTTACATTTTGAGAAAGTCTTCACCTTTCTAGATTCTACCTTTCAAGCATATTAAAGTGGACACGAGGATTATGTTTTGTAAGCGGTTGCTTTCGGTGCCGTCTTCTCTCGAGAAGGAGCCAGGTTCAGGTAAAGCGGCATATACGTTTTATGGTTATGGAGTGTTTACACAGGAACCCTAATTATTTTATTCATAGGCAATACCATGCCGTAGGCCAAACATCGAGGACTTTCCTTGGTTCTGCCTCTCCCGTGATCTCTTGCGAACCTGTAGCCGTGCCACGTTGCGAGTCGCGCGCCACGGTTTGGTTTTTTTCCACGCGTCCCTTTTGTCACTGACCGCGCGTGAGTTAGGCACCCTGCCTCGAGGCGGTGCTCCCGCTTCCTCGACTCGCCGGGCCGCCATGGGGGGGGCACACGCCGGCGCGGGACTGGGGACGGCCGCCCGCGGGCTGCTGCGGGGCG